TTTTAAATTTCGTTGTACCTGGTGCGATGACAATAAAGGAATTCTATTCTATTCTATTCATATAATTGGTCAAAAATTGTACATTCTCCGTTAGCCTACGAGCTCCCCGTTTGAGCGAAGGACTATTCCTTCTCAATGTAGCATGACATTGGATATGCGCTGAAGTTGTCCTGGATTGGAATTTTTCCGATCATTCCCATAGGAGGAGTTTGCAAGAATGTGCTTAAAATGCATGAAAAACGCACATTTCTCAAAATGGCCGACTTCCTGGGGGGCGGGGCTAATGGAAGCCAATTTGAAATATGTGTGCAATCATAATAGTAATGTGTATACAGCGTTTCATGAATATCGGAAAAACTATATGCGAGCAGTTTGGAGCAATTTGCGCCATGTGAATCGTCAAAAATGGTGTATTCGCTGTTAGCTTACGACCTCCACGAGTAATTTTTCAAAAATGTGCTCCTCAATTAAGTATCCTATTGGATAGGGGCTAAACCTGTCCTTCATTGGAATTTTTCTGATCATTCCCCTAGGAGGAGTTCGCAAGAACGTGCGTAAAATGGCTGAAAAACGCACATTTTTCAAAATGGCCGACTTTCTGGGGGGCGGGGCTAATGGAAGGCAATTTGAAATATATGTGCAATCATAATAGCATTATGTATATAGCGTTTTGTGAATATCAGAATAACTATATCCGAGTAGTTTGGAGTAATTTGCGACATGTAAATCGTCAAAAATGGTGTATTCGCTGTTAGCTTACGACCTCCACGAGTAATTTTTCAAAAATGTGCTCCTCAATTAAGTATCATATTGGATAGGGGCTGAACGTGTCCTGGATTGGAATTTTTCCGATCATTCCCCTAGGAGGAGTGCGCAAGAATGTGCTTAAAATGCATAAAAAACGCACATATTTCAAAATGGCCGACTTATTGGGGGGCGGGGCTAATGGAATTTATGTACAAATATGTCCGCAATTCCAGGAGGAATGTCTGTGCCAAAATTCGTGAAGTTCTGAGAAATGATATGTGACTACCACACAATAGCTAGTGAGCAGTGTTTTTGAAAATTTACGTTTTTTTTTTACATTCTCGAAAAGGTCCTGGGCTCTGACGTGTGTCCCAAGTTTTGCGTCCGAAGCTCATTTTATGCTACCGCAATAAAAAAAAAAATGTATAGGCCACGCCCACATTATGCATTTGTTGCGACACTTTAATTCTGAGTTCGTAGTCACCCCGAGATTATGTGTAAAAAATAGTAATAATAATTCGTCCATCCGCTCTTGAGTTATAAATTGGTGGTGTTTTTGGCGCCCCCTATAGTCCTAAATGGAAATTATTTGTTAAGCATATTCCCCAAGACATATTCAACCTATTTACCAAAATCTGTGATGTTTGGATACATTATTGATGAGTTATGAGCATTTCTTTCTAAGCCCCGCCTTTTTGAGAGTACCTTTTAATTCATGGCGGAAATATTTATCGTTTGAACATGCTCATCTCCTAGGGTAATGTGTCTGACCCTCCACCGATGCTGTATACGAAGTTTGGTGTTAAAAAACTGGAAATATTAATTGTAATGAATATTTAACTGTTGATGTAAATTATGCTAATAAAAAAAAAAAAATGTAGGCGGAGCTTAGGGTTCCAAGAGGATTATTTCTAGAGCAGGTCCTCCCGGATATGTGTGCAAAATTTCAGGTCATTCGGAGTTACGGTGCGACTTTGTAAATGTATTCCGAAATGGGTTTTTCATAGGTGACGCTAGCAAGCACGTTGGACAATTTGAACTCATTGACTCCAGAATAATGTATTTTTCACCAGTCCTGGCGTCCGTGCAAAATTATACAACTTTTGAACCGTCCTAAAGGCCTCAAAAACAGGAAACGCCAGCAGAAAAATAATAATAGGAATAATTCCACCAATAACAATAGGTTCCTCGCACTTCGTGCTAGGACTCCAGAATAATGTATTTTTCACCAGTCCTGGCGTCCGTGCAAAATTATACAACTTTTGAACCGTCCTAAAGGCCTCAAAAACAGGAAACGCCAGCAGAAAAATAATAATAGGAATAATTCCACCAATAACAATAGGTTCCTCGCACTTCGTGCTAGGACGCCGTTGGGTCCTAGCGCTCCGTGCTCGAGCCCTAATTATTGACAAAATGTACATTGCAGATGTTAGCCACATTGGTAAGTTAGCTAAAAAGATAGCCATATTAGACAGTTATCTGCCATTAATTGCCTCGTCAAACTACGAAAACGTTCGTTTGTCACAAAATAAATTACACTTGTTTGACTTAGATTTGAGGGCATGGGCTTGAGCATGATGTAATTATGTTATCTATCACATTCGCTAACCTGTCTGTCTTTAAATTCTTGAAACAGCTCTGGATGCCGGTCGGCGAGGTGCTTAGCCAAGTTTGATGTGTTGGCTCCCTTGGTTTGCAGGGATCTAAAACATTTCTTACAGACAGGCCTCGTGGTGTCCGTAGGCTTGCCCTCACTGTCAGAGATATAGCTCAAATACTTCCAAATGTAGCTTCTGGCGTCTTTTTTGTCAACAAGCCGAGGCGCAGCGTCAGTTGCACTCCCACTTGCTCCCCGTTTTCTCACATGCTCTGGCAGCTAGCGAGTGCACGAGAGAGGGGAGGCAGAGCGTGCTTGAGAGGGGAGGGACTGCAGGCACGGCTGCAGTGAAGGGAGTGGAAGCAGAGTGCTCAACACACATGGCTCTTATTAAACCAGCGCTTTCTCACCGGAGTACTTTTCCCCGTCATTCTTAAAGTACCGATACTAATGAAACGGAGGAATCGTAAAGTTTTTAACGGCAGGGTATCGCGGTACCTTTCAAGTATCGGTACACCGTGCAACACTACAACCTGCTAGTTGTAAGATGGCGAACTCCCTCGCAGCCAGTCGCTCGTTTAATTAACTGTTAAAGTTTTATTTTGTTAGTTCAAAAAAATTAATAACCTAAGCACCTTTAACCTCTTAAGCCCGAGGGTCCCCCCAGTGGACCCCTCCCACCGTTTTTTTACGAGACTATGTCTCAGGGCTTCTTAACATTTATGAAACTATTAATGTTCCATACCCTTTTAACGGTAAGAAACTCAGCTAACTGACAATGTGAACCATTTTTAGCTAAAAGAAACACAAGAGTAATAACAAGCCTTTTTATTAGCATGGAGCGAAAAAATGCTAACTAATGCTAACGGACTTTTGCACAGCACTCACGGTAGAAATACCCTTATTATTTATCGTAACTGCACAAACAAGATATCCGATTAAAGCTGAGACTCCACAGATTCCACACATGTAATGTCATCACTGTACGACCCCGAATTCCTGGAACTATGAGCCAGAAAAGAGAAAGTAAACAACATCCGGTTTCAAAAATATTACAATAATTACATCTTACCTTTTTTGATTTGTGATCAAAAGTTGTGTTCAACGGAATAAAAACGCCGCTCAAGGTTAATCCAATGTCTTTGTGTCAAGTAGAAATGTTTACTGATAATCCATCATCATATTTATGGCAATATACTGGGTATAAAGTTTTGCCTTCCAGGCTTGTACTTTCAGATATGCTTCGTTTGCTTCTCTATTACGTCCGCAATGGTAATGTTTACGTGGATTTGGGAACTAGCCATCGATTCTATTGGATGTAATGGTTAAGAAAAAGGTGTAAATCACCCAAATCGACCAATGGGTTCCAGAGATATGGTCCTGCGTAAAGTATGAAGAATGCCAGCCAGCGTAAGTACATTACGCAGCAGACTTTACTTATTGTTTACTACGGAAGGAAGCAGGAATTGCAGGACCCAGAGCGCACGGAGCACAGAGCGGACAGCAGATAACGGAATTGCAGTTTTATTGCTTATAGATTATCAGAACATTTCAAAGGGGACACAGCCCCATTGGATATTAACCTATGGATTAACTACATCATCGTTTTTATCGTTTTAATGCCATTGAAGACCAGTTTAGACCAGACAAAGAGGAAGGTAAGCCATGTTAGCCTAGCGCATGTTAGTACCTAGCGCCACTTGTTTTGATGTACGTTTTTGTTGATAACGTCGCGAGTTTGTATCTTTCAGTGTTGAGGATAGCACCGTTAGATTCTGTGTCTTTACGATCATAAACAATGTGTTGGATGTGCAGCTAGGATAAATAATAAGGGAGCTAGGAGTGATTTTCGGTGCAGTAATAGGTTAGCATTTTTCGCTCGGGGCTAATTCAGAGGCTCACTGTTAGCATTGTGTGGTTTTTTTGAAAAGATAAATGAAAAAGATCAGTTAAATGAGTTTTTCCCCGTTATATGGATATAAAATATTCATAGTTTATTAAATATTAAGGTTCCTTAGACGTTGTTTCCTGCATATTACGCGATTTCGGGTCCGTGGGGCCTAGAGGATAACAGAGTATGTTTGTTTTGTTTTTTTGTTTTTTTTCACAATAGTTATATTTGGATGGAATGAATACCTATAGTGATAATTCAAAGTAATAAAATGATTTTTACAGTGAAAAAGTTCAAATGGAACTGATGGTTCCCAAATTACCCAGAGGTGAGTCCGCCTGGACTTTATTTTTCTAAACCTCTCTAAAAAGGTCAAATTTCACTTGTTTTGCATCAATCTTGATACAGGGTACTTATATGTTATAGTTTGGATTCCTAAAGCTTTTAGTCTACTAACCCATCATTCAAGGGTGGTTTTCACTATAAGTAATGGGTTTATTTTAGGCGGACATTAGAATTTACATGTTTTTACTATGTTCCATCTGAATTTACTTTAAAATAAAAACATCTATATTGATTCTGACACTTCTACATCCAACTCACAGATGTAACCTTGCTTTGAGAGAAAATATTATTAATTTACCCCTTTTAGAAGTGAAGATATAGTCGTTGTTGTGCCTGAAACCTGAAAAACAGGCTCAGAGCTTAAGAGGTTAATAATGTATACTGGTGTTGGTGAGGGGCTTTGAGTGCGCAGGTTCCTACCTGAATGAGCCGTACTCAGGCGGAGGCTGGTATCGGACTTGGAGCACCTCCCTTGATTGCTCCCTGCCTCTCTGCTCCTGATAAAAATTTCCTCCAGGCTCCTGCTGCTTGCTAGGAGAGCCAATTCCTCTGAAGGGGTAGTCTGGAGGTGGGCCGCGATGCTGCGGCTTGTAATAGTCCCCCGGTGGCCCTGGCGGGGGCAGCTGTGGAGAGAGTGGGGCACTAGTGACAGGAGCATGGGCCTTCACACCGCTAGTGGCCAGGGAGAGCTGCATTAGTCGTTCGCTGAGAGACCGAACGTGTCCTTGCTTTAGATCCTTCAGCCCATCGTCCTGGTGCACCCTCCCTGTTCCACTCACCCGCTGAACTGTGGGCCGACCCTCAGTGCGAACTTTGGTGCTGGTCACCCCAGTGACGTAGAAGGCAGTACCCACCGAGGCCGAGAGAGGGGGCTGCTGGAGCTGGTTGTTTTGCTGATGAGAAGGAGGACCATGGCCACGGAAGTATTGCGACTGCACTTTGGCTTCTTCATACGTAGGGAGGTCCTCAGGGTTTGGACACTGCCCATGGACACTTCCAACACATCCACTGCTGCCTCCTCCTCCACCTACAGTCCCCAAACATCCTCCCCCTCCACTGCTCCCACCTCCTCCTCTGTTGGAGCCCAGCTTCTCGAGGCCGTTGTCCGTCTGCAGCTCCTGTCCCTGGGGCTCCTGTCGGGCAATGTGGGGGGTCATGGAGTGATCATCAGGTACCGCATAACCTCCTCCTCCTCCCCCTCCTTGTTGTTGTTGCTGCTGATGTTGATGCAGCACATAATTCCGGTTCATCTGCTCCTGCAGGAGGCGCTGCAGGACGGTGTTTCCTCCCCCTCCTACATTGTTGCTGATGGACGACTCCTCAGCGGCAGCCCTCATCTCTGCCTCACGCTTGCTACGAACCTCATGGAAGGACACGCTTCGCCCACGGTCAATACTCCCTGAGATGTATAAGAAGAGTAAGTGGAAAGAGAGAGAAAGAAAAAGGAAGCAGTGTGACAAAGAGATGAGAGAAACAGTTTAATAAGGTTAAACCATGTGAAGTCATTCAGAATAAAAAGGGAAGAAACAAAACAAAAGCGAAGGATAGAAAGTATTCATGTCAAATTTGCACATGGACCATCCACCACCATCCCTGTCCAACTTGTAGGAAAAATATTTGTTGTCAACCCTGCACAGACAAACCTTCAATAAAACCTTGAAACCTCAAACCCAGATCTCAAACAAAAACATACATTAGCTCTTACAATTTCAACCAAATAATTAATATACAAGCTGTGTAATGACTAAATATGGATACTAAAAAAAGAAAATGTCACTTAAGAATGGTTAACTAGGCAATTTCGACACTGAAAATAGAAAGTGAAAAGTGCAGATACACAAAGTAGCAGAAAGCAGTTTGTCCTTGTTTGAACTAAGCTGTGATATGCTGATACACAAATGGCTACCTGTGGATTGTTCTTACGTAAAATGTTCATCTTTCAGAGGTTTTGTTTTTAGGACAAAAGTGGCATTGTAGTAACATTATATGATTTTACAGAATTGTATGTGAATGCAAATTCAATTTAACATCATAGTATCAAAGGAAACCTTTGAGCACTAATCTGGAGTGTCTTGACAACGACCATGTTAACATGCACAATAATGATATGCTATTATTCTGAACATGACAATATTCTGACTTAGAAAGGAGTTCTGTATATAGAATATTCGGTTTGGAGATGTAGTATTTTCTGATTTAGACATATGGCTCAGTTGGGCTTATTGTTACAGTGACACAATGCATCTTGCCTGTTTACAGTCAGCTTTGTGCATTTCACACAGACCAACTAGCCAAACGTTTGCGAGCCTGGGTTAGAAGTGCAGGGCCACACAAAAAACACATTTATGTTTGAGATAAGAGCTTGAATAAAAACAGGATTTTTGATATGTGCAAATATGGCGACCTATTCAAAATGTGGTTGAAGGGATCCTATCTTGATGCAAAAAGAAAGTAGCCAGAGCTGCTTACCACTTTTTCATATTTTGACGTGTTTTTGCGTCATTTGCCGAGAATGGCATCACTGCTTTTTATTTTCATTAAACGGCTTTGTAAGAATAGTGTCCTTTTAGGCATTGGGACACAAATCTAAATTTTCTTTGCAAATGTAATCATTCTTTTTATTATAAATTAAAAAATGTTTGATGTAACATGTTATCTATTTAAATGTCATAGAAAACACAGAAAGACAGCATATTTGAGATATCGTCTTTTTGGTTATCATAATTGTCTTCAAATGTACTATCAAGGCAGGGACAGTGTCAAATGTCTGGAAAGCAGGTGGAGCTTATCTTTACATCCTTGATCGAGGCTTCACGGGCATAGATAGATTGTTCTAATGTCATCAGCAAAGCTTCTTATTGTTTTTATTGAAAATAAAACTGAAGGACAAAAAATGTGTCACAAAACACAGCTATTAGGTAGTAAGATGGACCAATTTGAAATATGCGATTTAATTTGAACCTCAGAAGATCACAGTGAATCCATTCACAAAGCATTTAATTTTTTGTTTAAATATATAGATTGTAATTCATTACAATGAAAGCAAGGAAAACAAAACCCAGTGACTTGGAATCATCTAAACTGACCCACAGACTCTTTCATGCAAGGTTTAAGACAAAAGCAATGTGTTTTCAGTTGTACATCCAATGTTGTCAAAATGTAAACCACCTGGGAATAATTTGTTGTGAAAGATGCTAATCAAAAAGGATAATTTTGTCATTTTTTTACTTATGTAACGACATGTTTTTTTCATATTTGTAAATTTGTTAGGGGTTGTTGTGCTGCAATGCAGTGTGGTTTCTTTGACAACACAACATTTTACCAACTGAACACTGATCCACCTTTTTCTAATGAGTAAAGAAATAAATTCATCATTACATCTAGCGCTTTCTGTTATTCTTCTCATTCTCAAGGAGGAAGATGCTTTTTTCCGAAACATCTGTAAGTAAATAAAATCATATAGGACAAAAAGAAAAGCGTTAGCTTTGGGCATATGTCAGCAAATGGTCAATTATCTGAAAACTGAAGACAGAAAAGTGAAATAGGAATTTAGTGGTGACATGAAGATCATATCATTGGAAACAAATTAAATTAAACAAACAGCATACAATATGTAACTTTTCATCTCATGAAAGTCTTTTGAAAATGAAAAAAAATAAAACTGAAATAAAGATTTTGTCATGATCTTAATTTTGTGTATATGTTTCCCGTTTTATTTTGAAATATATTTCCTCCTTGTGTCTTGTCCTGTTTTACTTCCTGTGTCTGATTGTTTTTCACGTGCCCTTTCCAGCTGTGTCTTTGTGATAAATCTTGTGTGTATTTAGGCCTGTCTTTGAGTGTTCTTGGTCAATTCTTCGTTTATGTTCCTGTCCTGTTTGCCGTTCCAGCCGTAGTCCCTTGTGCCCTCTGGACAGTTCTGTTAGGTTTTTGTTGCTTAAAATGATACATCATCACCGAGGTCACCTGGCTACTAACCTGAAGTTACTGTAGTAATCTGCATTTTTCTTGGGCAGTGTGGTTTTGCTCATGTGAAGCTCAAAAGCAAATCTGTGCAAGCATGACAGATTTCACAGAGATCATAGAGCCTTATACAAATATCATGTATTGAACATCCAAACATATCAAATAAACTGTTAACTGTCATCCTTAATGGTTAATAGAGGAAGAAGCTAGGAGATGAAGGGTGTCTGAAGAATGATGAGTCTGAAAATGGGCAGCAATGTAGGGAAAATGTGCAGAGTTCTTTTTATGCAGACTGAATGAGTGGCAAATGTTTAAATGGACTGTCTCAGAAGGTCCTCAGCATGTGTGATGAAAGGGTGTTTGGACAAAATGTCCTTGATGCTTGCCTGTTCTCAGGGCTACTCACTAAGGCACATTGACAGTTTGTATTGTAGCCCTTTACAAGCCATCAATAAAGTATCTTTGATTCCGTTCTTGTTAGTTTAATGTAGATAGCAGCCTATCATTTTTGTGAAAAAAATAAATAGGCTGTAGCCATGATGATTTTGTTCCACTACCTAGCCCTAAAGACCCTCCCACATACTTCAACAGCCATATCCTGCAGTGCATGCCAACATCTTCTCTCTGACTTGCCCTCTTCACAGCCAGCAACAGGACGGACAGATAGGGTGGGGTCCACAACAGGTGGATAGAGCAAAAAAGAAAGAAAGAAACACAACAAATATTAAATAGAGCTGAGAAAGGAACAAATGGCATGACAGATGATGCCGTTATGAGGAAAGCAGTGACTCACTGAATTGTCATTGCCATGTGTTTGCTTTTTATTATGTGAAGTAAATTCCTCTGTTGAATGTACTCGGTAAATCCAGAATGTTTTTGGAGCAGTATTATATTCTGGGGCGATAAACTTGTATGTTGCGTCACACAAAAATATTGAAACAAACAGAAACAGTTTTGGGACTGACATGTCTAGAATATCTTGGCACAAATACTCCAAAGCTGACCTATTTACACGCTGTATTTCACAGAGGTCATACTGTGGTAAAAAAAATGGGCATAAGTACTTGTTAACACTGATAAACTAACGGCACAAAAGAATAGACTGCTTGCTTAGCGCATTCAATTGAATGAAAAATATTTCTGATATGGACCTCTGTCATTCAGAATAGGCAATGAGAGAATTAAATAGTATGGTGTTAAGATGTCATTTTTATTTTACACCAACCACAATAAGCATAACTTAGTCATTGGTGTCACAGGAAAAAAACACCAGAACACATGTGCACTCCTACATGCTATACATTAGAATGACCACCAACCAATTATAGCAGAGCATACATCTGACACTTTGAAAAACCTTGATTATTAATAGAATCTGCTGGAGTTTTGTTGAATATAAACAATGTTTGCTTATAATCCTCAATATTTGGGCCTACCAAAAATGTAAAAAGAGTACCTTCAAAATCAAACATCTGCAAAGCTTGCTCCTTTTCAATATTTTAAATTCTGCATTGTTTATATCCATGTTAATTAGCTTGCAGTCTTCTTCTCTGCCTTTATTGGCCCATTGTTGCGTTTGACCCAACATAAATGGGATGGTGTTAAAACCATTTGCAGGACTCTGTGCGCGCGCGCACTGCCGCGCAGTCAAACAATTCATATGTTACCTTCAATGTATAATTCATTAAATTATAAAATGTCCTGGGTTTTGTTTTTTGACATGACATGCTGTAAATGACTTGATTTCATCAGGTACGGCATATGATATTGTGTGTACACTATTGTTTCCGACCTGAAATTGTAATGATGAGTGCACACAGACTGCTAAACCAACCAGAATGTTTGTTATTCTTTGGTTGAGCATTCCTTTGCACACATTTAATGTCCTTTAAGCTTCTCTGTTCTCTTGACAATCTCCCCCTCTTACACTCCCTTTTACCAACTTCAAACTCGCCTCTTTACTTCTCCCTATATTCCCTTAACCAACCTAATTTCCCATACCGAAGACTTCTCCCTCTTATACCTACCTGTATGGCTGCTCTCACAGTGCTCAGTGGCAACAGCTGCTCATGTTGTGATGCTTTGGCAGACCCAATGAGTGGGGCTTCTTTATGGTAAGCAGTAAGATGGGGCTGATGTTTTTATGGTGGAGGTTGACCCATCTAAGGAGATTGTGATCTTGTGGTGGCACGTAGTTCAACTCCTGGTCCTTGACTCCCTGCAGGATCAGCAGGCTCTCGTAGAGCTCCAAGATGTAGAGGAAATGGTCGGTGTCTCTCTGCAAATCAAATCAAGTTTTATTTATATAGCACATTTAAAAGCGATTTTTGGTCCAGCCAAAGTGATGTACATGTAATAAAAACACATTACTACAATCACAATAAAAGACAATAATTTACAACAGAAATATAAAAAACAAAAACACAGGGAATATTCAGGTGTCATGCTCCGCTCTGACTAGAAGGCCAGGGAGAAGAAGTGTGTTTTTAGTGAGGATTTAAAAAACCCTAGTGTCTCGGCCGACCTCACATGGTGGGGCAGAGTGTTCCAGAGCCTAGGGCCAGCTGCTGCGAAGGCTCTGACCTCGGGTTTTGAGCCTGGTCTTGGGCACCATTAGCAACAGCTGGTCAACAGACCTTAAAGCTCTGGCTGCATTTTGGACTAGCTGCAGGCGTTTAATTGAGGCCTGGTCCATACCCACATACAGAGCGTTGCAATATACCAGTCTTGAAGTTACAAAAGGCATTAATAACCCTTTCTAGATCTTTAAAAGATAAATACGACTTGGTTTTGGCCAATAATGTTGTTTTAAAAAAGCAGGATTTGACTCCGGTGCTGACCTGCTTGTTGAATTTAAAAGTGCTACTGAAAGTCACTCCAAGGTTCATGACAGAGGGGAGGATGTTTTCATTGAGAGAGCCCAATGAAGATGCAGATGAAATAAATGTAGTTTGTTTAACTGCCACAAAGAACCAAATTAGAGGCTTAGCTTTCGTAAGAGGCCAACAAACTTTCTTGACTGTATGTATATGCATTTAAGTATCTTACTCCAGTAAACTAAATAATATAACAGGGGTGGAGCATATCTAATTTTGAATTAGATTTAAAATTCACACTGCCAGATGTGGAGGATGGACATATTCACAGATTTTATTTTTATATGTGAAATTTGTTTGCGTATTTGCAAAAATATTTTTAATGAGTGTACAAATATTTGTTTAATATTAGTGGGAAGTTATATACATGTACAGATTTCACATTCACACAAGGATCATTTATCTATTCACACAATCTATATTGAGACAAACAATGTGACTTAAATTATCATGAAACATTTTATAGAGACAGCAATTCCTTTATCTACATGACTGGCATACAACTTTATGTTGCAGGCTGTAATTTGGCACCTTCTAATTCAAAGGTCAAATTGTCATGGTATTGAAGTGTCACTTTGCATAAAACCGTCAGCTAAACAGAGAAGTAGTACGATGCATTGTCAACCAGTGGTTTGCGAGGATTTATTTTCTGCATTCAGATCTGTTATAAATCATTCAAGCAACACATTCATATACAGTCCCAGGTTATTGAACGTAACAAATGTGAACAAAATAAGCAAGACTTTCTAAGGTCTTAATCATACTGTTAAAAGAAAGATACAGTTTAAGTGAAAAAAGAGGGGGAAAACGTTTCCAGTCATTTAAAAATTCTGGTTCGTCAAAGAATGTGAGAATGCCAAGGTAGTATCTTGCATTCTCTCACAGATAAGATCATTTAATAATCAAAAAGGAGATCATCCAACTCTAAAAAAATGTACAGAGCCCCTAAAAGGAACAAAAAAAAAAAAAAGGTCGTGATAACGGGTGAAGTCACATAACATTTATTTATTTTTTTTTAATTAAAAAGTCGGGATAACGGGTTAGTATCTCGTGGGTACGAGAAAGTTATCGGTGCGCCAAGGAGGGAGTGGAGCACACCATTTAATTGCAGACTTTTATGTTTATGTGGGGAAATGACAGTGCATACATTATTTGAGATATATTTCGAACTCGGATAAGGACATTTCGGCCCGGGGTGTATGGCCATTTGTTTAAGCACCGGATTAGCAAAACGGGAGAGTCTGTAATCCAGTGCCTTGATCTATGAATTCAGGTCCGTGACTCCCACAGCTAGCTAGCTAGATATATATATATATATTAGGGCTGTCAAACGATTACAATTTTTAATCAGATTAATCACAGTTTAAAAATTAATTAATTAATCACCATTCGAACTATGTCCAAAATATGCCATTTATTTATGTATATTGTTGTGGGAATGGAAAGATAAATGAAAGAAGGCGGATATATTTATTTAACATACAGTATTCTATGTTTATTATAAAAAAATTCTGCGTGTCAAAATGAAAGACAACCCACACACACCTATCAATCATCAAACTGGGGTCTTAATTAATTACGTGTTGATTTCTATCAACGGGTGAGTACTTCAGGAAAGTCGACAGAGGGGGGGGGCGGCGGCTAGTGGAGTACTTCGTGACCACAGTGTGAACGTTGTGATCAGCTGTTTTAGCGCAGTTCTCCAGTGAAGGGGGGAGTCTCCCTCCGCCGCCGGTTGGCGTAGTTTTGGCACAATTCCGTTGTACAGACCGACGTTAACAGCAGCCCTGTCTGTGCACACGGAGACCGACTATGTCGTCCGGTGATCTAACCGCCTTCTGGAAAAGCTTCACAAGTATGTCGGTACACAAATGCGCTTTGTGACACAAGTGACGGTACGCATTTCAGATTACGCACATAACCTGCATACCAGTTATGTGTTTACCGTCGGGACTTCCTGCAACAACACCACGCCGTTATCAAAGATGTTCTATTGAGAAGACGATCACTACGTGACAAAAGTTTTCAAAACCGTGGCTACTGAAATCAATCTTACTAACTGCTGTCTGTGCAATTTACTCCGCGAGTTGGCAGACTTTATTTTGCTTACTTTAACATCATTTTTCATGGTGGGGCTAAGACATTTCTTGGTATGGGTGTAGCCTACCCCAGCCATACCCTGGCGCTGCCACTGGTGGCACGTATGGGGCGGGCCATTCTGCACATGCGTTTAAATGCTGTTAAATATGTTAACGCAATTAATTCAAAAAGTAATTACCGCCGTTAACGCGATAATTTTTGACCGCACTAATATATATATATATATATATATAGCAGATATTATATATATATATATCTATATTATATTTCTTATATTATATATTTATATATATATATATAAGCTATAATATAATATTAAATTATATATATATATATATAATATTATATATATATAGCGATATATATATATCTATATATATATATATATATATAGCTATATATATTATATATATAGCTATATATATATTATATATATATATAATATATACTATAATTATATATACTTATATTATATATATATATATATGCTATATATATATATCTATATATATAGCGAATATATATATATATATATATATATCCATATCTATCTATATATAGCTATATATATATATTTATATATATATCTCTAATATTATATAGATATAGCTATATATATATATAGATATAGCTATATATATATATAGATATAGCTATATATATAGATATATATATATAGATAGCTATATATATAGCTATATATATAGCTATATATATATATATATATATTGTGGACAATATTGCGATTGCGATTTAATTAACAAAGTATAATATGTACTTGCTTGGTCAGGGAAAGGAAATAGCACAGAAAAAGGATCATTTTGAAATCTGTATTTCTCAAAGAATCATAAACAAATACAATAACAAAAGTATCTTAGTAGTAGGCTACTGTTTTGAAAATAATTTAGAATTTGACACAAAAATTAATTAATCTTCTTTTTTATGCATAATTTCTGCAATACTATACAGTACATTTAAGAAAACATACATATTTTCATAAAATAAGACATCTGAACAAATGAACAAATGAGGATGTAACAGAAAAAAAAGCAAGTAGCAAAATGGGGCATATGTTGTGTAACCTCTACAATTGGAACAACATATATGTTAAATACAAGTGATACCCAAAGAGTCGCCATATTACAGATGTAGCATTTTTTTTGACAACCATTGAACCTGAAAAGGATATTGCATTGTTTTTGTTCCTTTCATTGCTATTGTATACATTTCTTAAAGGTCCCAAGTCATGCTTTTCCGGTTACTACCCGTTAGGGCTGCACGATTTGGAGAAATAATCTAATTGCGATGTTTGAAAGATATTGCGATTGCGATTCGCGATATTTGTTTTTAAGCGACCCAACTGAAGTTTATTGTAAAATGCGGCCATTCTCCGGCTAGGAAGGTTATATCAACGTGCTCCCGTCTCTAGCACCCCCGCAGCCCGAGCTACAGGTGAAAGAACTAAAGTTACATGAAACTTCCGTTGGGTTGCTTTAAAGTCAAGCTTCAGTTTAAGATTCACCCTGTAATAGATGTGAAACATGTGATGGAGCATTGCTAACCTGACTCAGATGGTTTGTTTCACCTAACCATCTAGGAAAGCTCCATTGGAAGCCATTTGGAAAGGGCAGGCACTTTCAAAAATACTTGGCAGGTGATTGGATCAATCTGTCTATACCTTCTATCATGGGCCACTTCTGATTGGTTAACAATGGCTGGTACATGTGGAGCACAGCACTTCTGATTGGTGTGGATGACTGACACACAAGAAGAACAGAACACAAAAAATTAAACAAAAAAATAAGAAATTGCAGGCTTTACGATTTGATAATCCCATCATTTCAAATCGCGATTTCGATTTAAAATAGATTATTTTCTGCATGTAAACGGCCTGCAAAGTCACAAACCCTCAAAGTACACCCTGTAGCGAGTAAAAACTCTAACATAGAAAAGACCTGTCTATGCTTCCCCAGAACACCTCGTTTTCCATTTTTTTCTTCCCGAGTATAGTGACCATACCCAGGTCCAAATGGACCAATCCGTGGAGCTCCTCACACACACACTCTCTCAGCCACTGCTCCGCGGATTTCTCAGCCTGAGACAGCGAGACATGGCGAAACTCAGCCTGAGCACACACAAACTCACTGAGCTGTCTCGCAGACCCCACGCAGCAACCAGGAAACGACACCAGTAATCCAGCTCACACTGTCCGCTCAAAGGGCGCAGCAGCAAGCCCTGCAACGTCCCGCCAACACGGCACCCAGACCCCACGCAGAATTGTGTTTGTAATTACTGGTGTCAT